TTATTCCTCTTTGCTATAGAGCTTCATATAAAAACGCATCAATGAGCCACAACATTCGGTCTTTTCATGGGATTTTGTTGTCTAAATATAGAATATTACCAACCTTATCATTTAAAGAATTACATATTGTTGTGATACACAAATATACAAGAAAGCCAAAAACATAAATGATCCCCGAGTGTGACTGTAACAGAGTTCAGTTATTTAATATGTCAGTATGAGTTTGGGGTCAATATCAAAAACAATACTTTTTGGTACCTTAATTTGAGAAATATAAACAGTTTACAAAAATATATCTTTATATAACAAAAGAGGCCAAAAAATGATTGAGGTTCAATAACAGTAACGTACATATACATAATAAAGTATTCAGACCTTTTACTTCAGTAAATGTACCAATATAACAATCTAGTCCTGAATTAAAATCATACTTATATTTCGTACAATATTATCACATTATTAAATCCTGATGTATCAATATGGAACTGCTGACAACTCAACAGATGTCTAAAACAAGCCAAAAACATTTGAAACCGCTGGTTCAATCTGTGACAGTGCACAGAATTTTGTAGACTTATATTTTATGTCAAATGTCACTATAAAGGTTACTAAAGCTGTTAAATAAATCTAGTGTTAAAAGTGATACAATATTTAATATAAAAAAGTAAAATAGAAAAACCACCACTCTTTGATTCTGTCACATTGTCCATTTGTACTTTGATGAAAAGAACAAACCGGAAACTAAATCAGCCTAAATTAATTTGACCTAAAGTTTCCCCACTGGGGTTTATACTCGTATATTAATCAAATGAGAACATTTTAAACCATAAAGTTCAGCTTTAAATCTTGTGGCATCCATCCCTCGCCCTCAGCCTGTCCTCCCGGTCTCTACGGCCCACTGTGCCGGCTGCAGTGTGACTGTATGAACGGAGCCTCCTGTCACCCCGTGTCGGGCCAGTGTATCTGTCCTCCAGGATACCGCGGCGCTCGCTGTCACAGAGGTCAGTGAAATCATTGCTGAGTACCCCAACGTAATACCAGGATTACTGCCAGTGTTGTGCCTAATTTATCCTCACATTCTCCTTTCCCGTCCCCTCAGTGTGTGAGCAGGGTACGTACGGACACGGCTGTGCTGAGGTGTGCGACTGTGAGGACGATGCTCCATGTGATCCCGTGACAGGAAGATGCCTCTGCTCCTCAGGGAAGACTGGACTCAGATGTGACATCGGTAAACTTCTATCCTTTTCCTAACTTTGAGAAAACACACACACGGCGAGGTGCAGACCAGAGTGAGCTTTAACGCAGTCCATGAAAATGAAAACATGCTGCTCAGCTCCTCTCCAGTGCTTTATATAAGTGAAGGGGAGATTTACAAGCTGTACGTTCAGAGGGAGGCATTGGATTTCTAAATTGGGCGCTTTAATGAGGAATTAGACTTTAAACTGTTTTATAATCTAACTAGATTATATTTGTTCTTAAAGAAGTGGCTTTTAAGAAAAAAAAAGAGCTGGAAACAACCGCAGACACAACCCTGATGAAGGCAATTTAGCTAACAATGTGAATAAAGAATGTTTTACTGGAGAGGAGTTGCGTGACGTAGTTGACCTACCTACCCTTTTAAAGGAACAGTTAGACATTTTGGGAAATTTGGTTTCTAGCAGTTAGATGAGAAGATCAGTATCACTTTATTTTGTCTGTTACCGCCAACAGCTGGTTAGCTTAGTGTAGCATGAAAACTGAAAACAGGGAGAAACAGCTTTTTAATTTGTACAAAAAAAACAAAGTAAACAAATGACTTGCAACACGTTAAGCAATGAGCTTTAGGTGGATTTGTTGTAGTCTTTATGCTAAGTTAACCAGCTGCTGGCTATAGGTTCATATTTATATAACCATATTTCCCACAATGTCAGACTATTCCTTTAAAAGTAAACTGATCTCATTTGTTTAAACGGTTCATTTGTGTGTGACGTCAGACTGCAGAGCAAATCGTTACGGGCCCGACTGTGCAGAGACCTGCGAGTGTGAGAACGGGGCGCAGTGCAACCGACGCAACGGCCGCTGCAACTGCCCGCACAGCTGGATCGGACTCTCCTGTCAAGAAGGTAAAGTAACGAAGAACCAGCGTGAGCGACACACATGCATCCCCCGCTGTCTTTACAGATATGTTACCTCATCATTACATCCCCACGGAGTCTTGAGTCAGACCAGCAGTGACATTTCAGCTGAGTCGGTGAAATAAGAGTAAATAAGTGCTAACAGCGTTCAGGTAGTGTCCACAGTCGCGGGGCAGAACTGCAGAGGCTGCGCTTTCCCTTCAGTGTCGTCGTTGTTCTAATCAAATGTGAATGGACTCACAGCTCTCTGTGTGCCTCTCCTCAGGTGGACCTCCGCGCCTCACCTACGGCAACAGCAGAGGAGACTCACAACATGACAACTCATTATAGCACCACCATCGAGCTGGAGAGACTCCACCTGGAACCGGGGACAGATCAACTACGTTTTACTGAAGTGACTCAAGTGAGTGAAAGCTTGTGACAGGAAGTTGTAGCAGGCAGCTCGAAGACCTTCATGGAAATAGACTCTCTGATGAGAACTGCAGTTTCATGATTCGACCTGAGCTGGATGATACTTTTTGGACTTTTTTTTCGAGTGCCAAAGTGTCCTTTTGAACTGTTCCAGCCTGTTTCATCAGCCTGACCTCACTGGTACATGTGATTTTTCTCTTGCGATCAAAGTGGACCATCGAACATCTGTTTAGTCTTCAGGATTTAAAATCGCTCCTCAAAAACTATGTCCGCTGAGTGCAGTGTCAGGAGATTGTAGTTGTGTTTACTGCACTTTTGGTGTTTTATGTTTATTTTTGTCCTTGAAATGCCCTTTTGCAGGTACTGTATATAAAATAACCTAATTTTTTTAAGGAACTTGGAGATATTGCTGGATATGATGCAACCTCTGACACTGAGGCAACGTTTTAAAACCGTCTGATTACTTGCCAGTACTATGAAGTTGTGTTTTAGTCTATACAATATGAAGTACTACCCTCGGTCCAATGCAACAAGACTAATGATTCTCCTCTTTTATAGTACAATATCACTGTAAAGCACATTCCTGCTGACTAAATGTGCCTTAAATGGACAGCAGTTCACTAAACATTACACAGCACAAGTTCATTTGCATTTTCTCCAAGGATAAGTGTCTAAATATTTTCTTTTGAATTGATTTTGTGTATAAATTGCTTCATATTTATATTTCACAGTTGTATACAATTGAATATAATACAAATTTAAAATGCAACATTGTTTTTCGCTTCCAGTGAAACCCAGAAAGAGGTTTTACACATGAATGGCAATAAAGACAGACACGTAAAGGTTTGTTTACCATTCTTATTTTATCATTATTTCATTTTCGAAGCTGTACATCCTGTCTAAATTCAGATTCAAGCACAGTGCATATAGCAACGCCTGCAAAAGAAAATTAAAAAAGAAAAAGAAAAAAAGGCAGAGGTGATCACAACCAGAAATATATATACAAAAGGTCAAACTATGTACAGGAGATACCAGGCTCTCACTACGTCATCTTCAGAGTGAAGTCAGCCCACCGTTTGCATTCAGTTCAGAGCATTCCTCATAATGCATACACAACACAAAAAAATTGCTTCTTTATGTCAGTCTTAAAATCGATACAATACTGATAGGAAAATGCAGCATGATGGGAAAAAAATAAAAACAGTTCTTTTGATTCTCTCTACTGCATTAAAGGCTAAAACATAAAAAATATATTCTCTGTATAACCTAGAACCTTCTGTAAAATAAGCTCTATCCATCTGTGGTTCTGGTTTCATTTCTGAACTAGTCATTACAATGTTAGAACAGCAGATATGATGAAACTAGGACCACTTAAAGCATGAATCTCTCCGACACAGGCGAGGGCACTAGGTAATTACACTTCAGCCTTAAAAACAAGTTATTTCTACAATGTGCAGAAACCTTTTAACACCACAGGATCTGTGTTGGGCAGGTCAGCACGGAGTGAAATAACACTGATGGTCAAACTAAATGCACAGCGATACTGTTTAAAAGGACATTTTTGACATTTTGGGAAATACACTCATTCACTGTCTTGCTGAGAGTTAGGTGAGAAGATTGATATCGCTCACTTATTTTTATGCTAAATATGAATGGTTAGCTTAGCTTAGTTTAGCAGAAAAAGCCTGGCTCTGTGCAAAGGTAACAGTCCACCTACCAGCATAATTAAGATGTTATATCTTGTTTTTAAATGTTCAAAATTACAGATACAAACAAAAACAAAGTGCTGCACGGCACAAAGTCACATAAACTAATATTTTCTTATTTGTACAATGCTAACTAACAAGCTATTAGCTAGCTCGTGAGCACAAATATGCCCACAGGAGCGAACAGTGGTGGAGGCAGGGTGGTTTGTTGGCTGCCAGAGGATCTTCATGGTTAGGACTTCTGTTAGTTAATGTTTAGGTGTTAGCAGAGATAACTGGTTCGGTTCAGGTTAAAGTAAGGGGGAACGGACTGATGGAGTTTTTGCCCACCTGGATTAAACAAACGAGATGTAACGTGTTAATTCCTGAACTTCAGTTTGCTGGCTGCTGACAGACGTTTGCTGAAGACAAAGCACAAAGCTGACAGATATGAGCGTGGTATCAATCTTTTAACTCTCAACAAGAAAGCAAATAAGTTAACTTTTTCCTTTAAGTCTCAAACTTTCTCTCCACTCCCTGCAGATGAAAATATTAGGACACAGGAACTCCACAGACTAAATAAACTAAATGTTCTTTGCTCATCTTTTTTTTCCTCTTATTGAAAAGAAAAAAAAAAAAAAGAT